AAAAAACAATTACAAGGACAAGATAATGAGTACATTTCTTATCAAGCATTGTAGCCTCCTCCTTTGTTTCCCCTTCCCATCCTCCTCCAGTCCCCCCACCAAAGTTATAAAGTTGGTTTTCGACATAAGGGCTGGTACATCTCATTGTTGCAATGGGTCCACCTGTATCCTACTTAAACAATTTGTTTTTCCCCTTCCCCTCCACAAATTATACCGACATCAAAGCAAGGGTTGTATTGTGGGGGAGGGACATACAAAGCAACAAAGAAATAATCTTATGTGTTAGAAACAATCCCATGAAAGAAAAAAAACATTTGAATACATATCTTAGGGTCCATTCCCCTAACATCACCTTGTCTGACCTTTTCTGTTTGACTCAGACATATACTAGATATTGCAAATAAGCCGGGTTTTTGTTTGTTTCTCTGTCTTGGGGCTTGAACTCTGGGCCTGGGCACTGTCCCTGAGCTCTTCAGCCCAAGCAAGACAAGCGCTCTACCACTTGAGCCACACTCTGGCACTGTGGAGATCACAGTTGTGTGGACTTCCCTGCTGGCTGTGAGCCTCCAGCTTCCTGAGCAGCTAGGATTACAGGGATCAGCCCTGGGCACTCAGCTTCCTGGGGACTCTTCAATTAACTACCAAAAAAGCCAAAGGTGGGGTTAGAGCTCAAGTGGCTCCAAGCAAGCTACCCCTGAAGTCAAGAGCTTTTACAGACAGGGCCCATGCCCTGAGTTCAAGGCCCACCTCCTTGCCAAAAAAAAAAAAGTCAGCCAGTAAGCATACCCTTTAGGGCTGGGAAGGTGGCTCAGTGGTCGAGTGCTTGCCTTGCATGCCTGAGGCCCTGGGTTCGATTCCTCAGCACCACATAAGCAAAAAGAAAAAAAAAAGCTGGAAGTGGCGCTGTGGTTCATGGTTCAAGTGGTTGAGTGCTAGCCTTGAGCTGAAGAGCTGAGGGACAGCGCCCAGGCCCAGAGTTCAGGCCCCACGACCGGACCCAAAAGAAAAGAAAAAAGCATACCCCTTAGAAGGGCTTCCTTGTAAAAGGCAGATGGCTTGGCAAGTTGTGAGAATGAGCAGGGAATATGGGGGGGGGGTCAGGTAAGGTGGAAAAGGGGCAGTTCATAAGGTTCTCAGAGACTACAGCTTAAAAAGGACCCAGAAGAAGCCTCAACCCTAAGCCTATGAGAAGGTGGCGGAGGTGGTAGGAGCTAGGGTGGACCCCAGCAACACTACTTCAAGGTCCACCCAACAGGGGCTGGGAAGGTGGCTCAGTGGTAGAATGCTTACCTTGCATGCGTGTGCCCCTGTGTTAGATACCTTAGCACCACATAAGCAGAAAAAAGCCAGAAGTAGTGCTGTGGCCCAAGTGGTGGTAGGGCACTAGCCTTGAGCTGAAGAGCTGAGGGACAGTGTCCAGTTCTGCTCTCAGGACCAGCAAAAAAAATCATAGAAAGGTTCATCCAATTAGTAAAGGCAATCAAAATAGACTCAGTCAACAAATAAGGGTGGAGATAAAGCATTTTGGTATGTACCAGAAAGGTTAAATGAGCTTTCATATGTAAAAGAACATGCTAACAGCCTGGCCCCACCCTCTGGAATTTAGTCCTTAATAGGACCTTCCTTAATTGCCTCCTCCAGTTTCTGACAACCCCCCCATGCCCTAGGGCAAGGAATTTCCTTCCTATCCTAGAAATAGGTCTGGATCTTCACCAATATCCACCGCCTCAAGTAGCAGCCTTTCCCACATGCGCGGACGTCAATTTCTCCTTTTTTTTTTTTTTTGGTTGGTTGTGGGGCTTGCCTGGGCGCTGCCCTCAGCTCTTCAGCTCAAGGCCAGCACTCTACCACTTGAGCCACTACACCAATTCTAGTTTTCTGGTGGTTAATAGGAGATAAGAGTGTCTCTGTCTCAGACTTTTCTGCCCAGGCTGGCTTTGAACCATGATCCTCAGATCTCAGCTTCCTGAGTAACTAGGATTATAGGCTAGAGCCACCAGTGCCTGGCCAGTTGCAAACACATGAAAACAAAAAGAGGTGGTCATATAACCTACACATAAAAGCAAAAAGGGCTAGGCACTGGTGACTTAGGCCTGAACTCCTAGCTGTGCCTGAGGCTGTGATGAGGATTCCAGTTCAAAGCCAGCCCAGGCAGGAAAATCCACTAGACTCATCACTAGTTAACCACTCAAAAAGCCTGCAGTGCAGGTGTGGCTTAAGTGGTAGAGCATTTTCATTGAGAAAAAAATGTGATAGTTCCCCCGCCACGTTACACACACTAGGTGCTGGTGGCTCACTTCTGTAATCTTAGCTACTAAGGAGGCTGAGATTTGAGGATCACAGTTTGAAGCCAGCCCAGGCAGAAAAGTCTTTGAGACTTATCTCCAATTAACCACTAGAAAACCTGAAATGGCACTGTGTCTCAGAGTGACTGAGCACTAACCTTGAGCACAGAAGTTCAGGGGCAATGCCCAGGCCTCAAGTTCAAGTTCCTTGACCACCAAAAAAAGAAGAAAAAGAAAAAAGAAACTTGGAGACAATGAGGGAGGGGTGACATTGTTCCAAAGGAAATGTACTCATTACCTGACTTATATAACTGTCACCTCTGTACATTACCTTTACAATAAAATTTAAGAACTTAAAAAAAATAAAGAAACTAACCATAATGTTAATCTTCTTTCTCAGGGATAAACCCATATTCTGGGCGCTGGTGGCTCAAGTCTGTAATCCTAGCTACTCCGGAGGCTGAGATCTGAGACTAGCAGTTCAAAGCCAGCCTGGGTTTAGGACTGTGGTTTAGTGGTAGAATGCTTGCCTAGCATGCATGGAGTCCTGGGTTTGATTCCTCAGTATCACATACACAGAAAAAAACAGAAGTGGAGCTGTGACTCAAATGGTAGGGTGTTAGCCTTGAGCAAAAACTCAGGGACAGTGCCCAGGCCCTGAGTTTAAGCCCCAGGACTGGCAACAAAACAAGTGCCAGGTGCTGGTGGCACCTAAATTCTAGCTGCACAGGAGGAGAAGATGTGAGGATTATGGTTCAAAGCCAACCTTGGCAGTTAGGTCGGAGAGAGACTTATCTCCAATTAACCACCAGAAAACGGGAAGTGGAGCTCTATGGCTCAAGTGGTAGAGAGCTCATCTTGAGCTCAAGAACTGAGGGACAGTGCCCAGGCCCAGAGTTCAAACCCCAGGACCAAAGACAAAGCAAAAACAACCAACCAGCCAGCCAGCCAGGGTATAAAAGTCCCCATGAGACCCTTAGTGTACAATTAACCAATCAAAAACCAGAAGTGGAATTGTGGCTCAAAGTGGTACAGCGATGATCTTGAGCAAAAAGAGCTCAGGGCTAGCCGAGAAAGTCCGTGAGACTCTTATCTCCAGTAAACCACCAGAAAAGCAGAAGTGGTGCTGTGGCTCAAGTGGTAGAGCGCTGGCCTTGAGCTGAAGAGCTGAGGGACAGTGCCCAAGTCCAGAGTTCAAGCCCCACGACCGACCAAAAAAAAAAAAAGAGCTCAGAGCCTGTACCCAGGCCGAGTTCAAGTCCTCATAAAGGGTGCGGGTGCGCGTGCACGCGCGAGCATGCACACACACACACACACACACACACAAAAAGCAACAACAAAAAAGTGAGTCTACCAGGACGTCCATGGCAGGTGGTCAGTGGTATATTAGCCCACGGTCTCTCCATCATATTACGTGACACTCAGAAGGTCAGAGAGAACGCCTGAGAGGGAGGCGGTAGGAAGAGAGCACACAACAAACTCTAAAGAGAAGCCTTATGTCTTGCTATATATATATATATATATATACCCTTCTAGATGACATGGCTCCTCACCACCATTGTCTTGATGTTTCTGGCATCTGCCAGATGCCTGTGGAGGCCGTTCTCTCAGGGTGGTCTTTGCACCTCGCTTTCCCATCTAGCCAGGGGACTAGCATCACCGAGTTACCTGGTGATGAGAAAATGCCACCAGGCCCTGCCATTGGGGCTGCTTCCTGCGGGGGATGAAGATGTGGTCCAGGAGGAGGAATGGGACCTACTAAGATCATTCTGCAGAGTACAGAGTGCGGGCTGGGATGAGCACTGAAGTCCGGAGGTCAGCGGTTAATGTTAAAGGGAAAGCCAGCCTGGGTGTAGACTCGAGGGGCGTCACGCCGAGCTCCCTCGCACATCTCCCAGGCCTTGGGGTGTTGGCACTGTTTTCTGCTCTACTCTCTGCGGGTGTTTGCGTCGGAGCCCGCGGGCCTGGATCCTCGTCCGCTCCCACCCCCTGCTGGGATGCGGCTGGTGACCTTTGCGGGGTAGCCGCACGCCGACCCCGGTCACCGCGGAGTGCGCCGCACACTGGGAGGACTAGCACCTCACCCAGGCTTCACTGCAACGGCCCCGGGCGAGGAACAAAGGCCGGGGCGGGACGGAGCCTGGCGGCCCCCAGCTCCAAGGGGAACAAAGGCCCTGGGGTGAGCCGCGGCCCGCGTGGGCCCCGCCCCCCGCCCGCCCCTCGTCCCCCGCCCCGGGCCGCCTAGGCCTGGGCAAACGGGGTGGGGGCGGGGGAAAGCTGCCCTCTGCTCCGGCTCCCGTTCCGCCTCCACCGCAGGGGCTCACCCCACCGCACCCACCCCGGGAGTGTCTCCAGACCGGGGCCCTCCCCGCAGGTCCTTCCCCGCGGGCCACCCTTTCCCGCCCGGGACAGATGCGGGCTTCCGGAAAGCGGATCCTTCCCAGACAAGCCTCCAGCCCACGTTAGAGCCTGGTCGACAGTAGGTGAGGTTTTGGGGGGACTGGGCGGGACTCCACGCTCACGCCGCCCTGGCTCACGGGTGCAGCGACTCGGAGCGCTGAGCGCCCAGAGGAAACTTGCTCCGAGCCCCGCGCCTCCCGCCGGGGCTGAGTGCGTGCCTCGACCTGGCCCCGCCCACACGGGCCCCGCCCCTTCCCGGGGATTGGCGGTGCGCCGGCGAAAGGGGCGGGAAGGGACTAGAGGTTTGCACTACGCATGCGCGCGCACCTAGGTGCCTCGGCGGGTGCGTGGCCCGGTGCACCCTCCACCTCACGCCGTCGTTAGCGGCCGAGACGTTTCTCTCCCCCGCCCTCCGCCCCCTTCCCCACCGCTACCCGCGTGGAGGGTGGGGTGGTCCGGAGTGGGTGGCCGCCTGCCGACGCGTGCGTACTCTCTGCCCTGCCGGAGGCTGCCGTTGTGGGCTCCGCCCCCGGGCGTGCAGCGCGCAACGCGCGTGCGCGGCGGCGCCAGTTATTTCTGTCCCGCCCCCAGGCCGCGGCTCTTTCTGCGAGCGGGCGCGCGGGCGAGCGGTCGTGTGCTAGCCCGGTTCGGATACGATCGGTGGCGGCTGCGGACCTGCGGACGCCGCCGTCGGGAGGCGAGCCGGCAGCAGCAGTCGGCGCAGTGTCTGGAGCACCCCACGCGCGGCCAGCGGCGACCCAGGAAACGCGTGGCGGTGTTCGG